TATATGATATATATATATATATATATTTGTATAAATGATGTGTTGATCACTTGAACATTTGGATTTCAATTCAATTTTTTTAGACTAATTCTATATATATATATATATTGATAGTATTACTTAGTCATATAAAAATTGTTGCTTTTTTTTATATCATTTTAGTAGGATCTTACGATCCTCGATCCGATCCTACGATCCGATCTGACAGACCCCCAAAACGATCCTTAGTAGGATCCCGATCTTAATAACCTTGACTGTGGCTGATATTACTGATATGGGTCAGTTTTTTGGAGTGGGGTGGAGAGCAAGACAGACTCTACTGTCTGATCACTTTACCAAGGCCAATGGTAAGGTCTGATCTGGATGTGCTGGTGTCTTGGTGTTGTTGCTGTTGTTGGGTTTGTCTGGTGTAGTGTACTGGTTTGGTTTGGTGTAATTGGGCTTTTAAGAAGGCTTTTCAGATATCAGTGCTTTGTGTTGCTGGAGTTGCATTCATCTTGTTATTTCCATAGGCAATCCCATAGGCAATCCCATTGGCTTCTTTCTTAGTCTATATGATGGTTAAGGTTTGAGTGTGTGTTTAAAAGGAAGTAATCTAGAATGGTGGAGTTGACTGAATTGGTAAAGATTAGAATTGCAGTCTGGTGTAAATCTGATTCTATAGAATGTTCTTATTCAATGCTTGAGTTAGTGTATAATCTGCAGTAGCTATATAGGTGCTTGGGTTAGTTGGAGCCCGGTCCTCTGTTTGATTATGGTGGATTTCGAGATCATGGTGGTGTTGAACTCTTTGCAATTTGTTTTGATCTGCTTCCTACTGCTGTGTCACAGGGTTGATGTTTTGATCTGCTATCTGTTGTTGTGGGTGATGCTTTGCTCCCTCTGGTTTTTTTGTAATGCTGTTGTAGGTTTTTCTATGTGGTAGTTTTTGTTTTTGGTGCTGTGTGGTCCTTCTGCTTTCTTTGTTTTTCTATCGATTGGCATCTCACCAATTTTGGGTCTTGTGCTGGCATATAATTGGGCGTCCTTTGCAGTACCAACCTAGTTGGGATTGTTTTGTTTAGTTTTGATGCTTTTTGCACAACCCTGCTTTGTTGATGTTAGTCTTGTTTTGTATCTTGATCTTTCACCAATAAAGCTTTTTTTGCTGATAAAAAAAATAAAAATAAATAAATAGAGAAAGATGAGAGATAGGGGAAGAAAGCTCCAACCCTCTATTTGTTTTGACAGAAATATTTTTAGAAAATATATTTTTGTATTTTTTCGTGTTTGGTACAACGAAAAACAAGCATATTTTTGTAGAATATAACTTTCATTTTTAAAAGGTAGAAAATACTTTTTGAACTAAACTTTTACCAATGTCACCACATTGTCATCACCACCATTACCTCCACCGCCACACAACCACCACCACCATCACCGCCATTGCCGTCACCACACCATCACCTCAACCCTATCACTATCATCACCACTACCACTCCCACCACCTCCATATCTACCAACACTTTCTCCTTCACTCCGTTGCCACTACTAATGTAACTATCAGTGCATTAGTTTCGAAAATGTAACCAAACATAAAAAAAAATACTTTTTCTACAGGAAACATTTTTTGGAAAAAAAAATTCTGTAGAAAACATTTTTGTTTGAAAAATGTTTTCCGTCAAAATAAAAGGAGCATAAAATATAAGATTTGTTTTTAGAATTTTGTTTTTAACTTTTAGGTAATACTAGATTAGAACATCCGAAAAATAGAAGAAAACTTTTATAAGAGAAAATTTGAAAAAAGTGTACTACCCTTAATGAACTTATTTTCAATTTTTTTACTTTTTAAATCTTTTTAAGGTAATTTGGAAATTAATTTTTTTAATGATTTTTTTTTATGACTTTTTAAAAAAGACATACAAAAATAATAATAAAGAGAATAATTTGACAAATTTATAGGGCATGTTTGGTTTTGTCTCTCAAAACATGTTTTTGGAGGAAAAAAATTTCAAAAACATGTTTGTATTACTTTTCTCTCTACTACATATCAATCAATCACATTTTCTCTCTCATCTCTCATTCTCAATCACTTTTTTTCTTACACTCATCTATTCAATTACAAAAAAAAATTATCAAATTATCGTAAATTTCAAGGGAAAATCGGTTTAGGGTCCCTCTCACACTTTTCGTAATGGAAAAGATCCACAAAATTATTTTTTGATGTCTGAGGTCCCTAAACATTTCTCTACCCGAAACAACCTCTCGACCTCAATCTGAAGCAGCTTCTGGACCTCACCTCTCTTCATCATCTCCTTCAAATTCGTCTCCATCACCAAATGCCTCTCTCTCGGCATGTTCTTCGTCTTCTCTCTGTCCAATCTCAAGCGTTCGATCTTCTGGCAGATCGCACTCAGCTCCTCCGCTAGGGACACATCGATCGACTCGATCTTCGCCGGAGCGGCGTTGACCAGATGAGGATTCTCCTTGTTCGAATCGTTTATCAGTGAAATCATGCCGAAGCTATTCCAAAGTCGCCGCTGCCACACCCTCCTCTATGACCTCTTCCTCAACACCTTCTCCTCCGAATCCTCCCTCCGATTTGCCACCGTCGTAGACTTCCGCGCCGCCCGGATCCGTGACCCGGAAGTTCTTCATCAGATTCTTCAACTTCTTCACTGGATTCAACAGCAAGACTTTCTTTTTGTTTAACAAATAAATTAGAAATAGAAGTAGGCACATCAACATTTTCTAAAATTCTCATTGCCTTCAATGTGGTTTGTGTATGCCATAGTCCTGGCAAGTATATACCAGCACGTGAGGCAATTATGTAACCACAACTTGCAAATAAACTTCTGCTATGATCTGCATAAACCACACCCAATAAACTTCTGCTTTGCAAACCTGTCAGAAATTCTCTGTGAACTGTGAAGTCCAAAGAAAATTGGGCCAGAGAAAATCTCTGTAAACTAGAATTTCTCTGTGAAGTCCATTAAGCATTCCAGGTTCCAAATTGTGAATTGAATTTTTTTTTCATTTGAAGTTGAAACCAGAGAAATTCTCTCGTTTTTTAATTGAATTTTCTCCGAGTTGAAACCAAAGAAATTCTCTGGTTTTTTAACTAAATTTTCTCTAGGTTGGTCTAGAGAAATTCTTCCTAGAATTTTCTCTGGACCAATTTTTTCTGGGACTAAAATTTCTCTGGACCAAGTTTAAACATGAGTAATTGCAACATTCATTCTATATTTTGAAGGGCATGGTAATAAAGTTCCTATATCGAAGCTTATTCTCTCTAGAGCAACATATGCAGATGTGTCTGAAGCCTTTCTATATGTTGAAACCAGTTCCCTATCCTTCTTGGACATGTCCAACTCTTCTCTTGGCAGATTTTGCTTTTTGTCTCATATGAATGCACTGGAACATTTGGATCTCAACTCTAGTTTGATTGACGATAATTTTGTGTATGCTCAGTTTTCAAATACTCTTACATTGGATGTGAGTTTACTGTTATGATCGTTTATTTTCCCTTCCTTCCTTAAATCAGAGAAATTCTGAGAATAATTAGACCAGAGAAATTCTGAATCTAGATTTTCCAGAGAAATTTGGGCCAGAGAAATTAATTTCTCTGGTCCAGAATTTCTCTGAACCAATTTTCTCTGGACTGAAATTTCTCTGGATCAAGGTTGAGGGACCTTAGACATTATGAAAATATTGTGGAAGGACCTTAGACATTATGAAAATATTGAATGTCCTTTATGCTATACAACCTTAATATTAGGGACCTTAAAAAAAAAACCCCAAATTTCAAAACTATTTTTAAAATATACAATCAAACAAATTTTTTAATTTTTTAATCTCTCTCCAAAAAATTATTTTTTAAATAATATTTCAAAATACAAACCAAACAAAGTCATAATGACTTTTTTTTTTTTTCCCCTAAAATCTCACTTTCCCAAACAAAGCTTAAAAATGCATGAAAACAAAAAATAATGGCATAAATTTAATTTATTTAACTAAAGACAAAAAAAAAAAATCCAAAAACAAAATATGATTTTATTTGACTTGGGGCCAATTTTAGAAACATGGTAACCTATTTTGAATTATATCATTTTTTTATTTTGTTACATAATTTTTAAAAAACTTTCTTTGAAAAAAAACCTTTGTCAACGAGATCAACCCAAGAAAAAGTCAAGTCATTTTCAAGAAAGGGAAAAGAAATCCCATAAAAATGGTTACAACTACAACTATTTTCCATTCCATATGCACAGCACAATATGAATCAAAACCCAAACCCACGCGCGATTTAAGTACATGCCCAAGTACAACGCAAGCCTCGCACCGAATCTGATCCGTCGGCAGAAATCTTCTAGTATGGAGAGTTGGACGGCTGAGATATGTAGACCCTACCACTTTGAATTAGGGATGCAACTCGGGCGAGCTCAACCCGAGCAACCCGAGCCCAGCCCGAGTTTTTTTAGGGCTTAGGCAACTATATCTTGTAATCTGGACGGGCTTGGACAGATTTTTGATACCCGAATTGCAATTCGGGCCGGGCTTGGGCAGAACCAATGGCCAACCCGAGCAACCCGAACCCGAATTCAATTTAATATATTATATAAATTATATAATATATAATATATAATATATATATAATTTAATAAATTATGTAATATATATAAATTAAGTAAAAGAGTTAGTCTTAATTTTATTCGGACAACCCGAGTTCAAAATACAAAGCTTGGGCCGGGCTTGGGCAACAATGTTCGGGTTTATGGTCGGGCTTGGGCCGACTTGGGCAGTGCCAAATACAATTCGAGTCGGGCTTGGACAGACCCCCAACCCGACCAAACCCGCCCGAGTTGCACCCCTACTTTGAATTCAAAAACAGCACAAAGTTACTAACGTTATAATTTCGTAGCCTCAGCTTCGGCTCCGAACCTAAAGCTACACAATCAAATCAAATAAAAAAAATAAAAAATTGCCAAAACCAATAAAAAACATATCTAACTTGATTGTCTTGTATCAACTGAAAAAGAATCGACTCATATAGCAAGTACATCAACACTCTGAGATTCACACAATCTCTCTCTTATTGATTGTCTTGTATCAACTGAAAAAGAATCGACTCATATAGCAAGTACATCAGCACTCTGAGATTCACACAATCTCTCTCTCTCTCTCTAAGAACAGTAAAGATTTGCAGGAAAGAGAAGTATGTTCTTGAATTATTATTCTGTTTCTCTCTCTAAATCTATACCATATATATCTGTGTAATGCGTATAAATTGATGCATTGACGTGTTTGTATATGTTAGGGATTCTCATATTCTGTTTCTTGATCGAATTACAGAGTAAAATTGGGGGCATTAATGGAGGATACAATAAGAAGCGGGAGGCATGACTTGAATTTGGCTTCAAGAAAAGCCGAAGAAGCAGGTTCTCATTCGACTTTTTTCTTTTCTCTTACTGTTTGGTTGCTGAGAAAATGTAGGAAGAAAATAATGTGCATTTTGAATCTTGACGCTTTCTCATTACTCAGAGCAAATATGAAGTTTCTTGGCTACCAAATAGAACTCATTTATGTAGTCCTGTTCGAGAATTCATTCGATTGATTTGTGTTTAATTCTTCAGCTTGGAGGCGTTTCGAAGCAACTCAGTGGCTAGATAGCTTAGTTGGACCACTAGGCATATCAACTCAACCATCAGAGAGAGAGTTCATTTCTTGCTTGGGAAATGGTTTGGTCCTCTGCAATGCCATTAACAAGATCCAACCAGGATCAATCCCAAAGGTAATCATATTACCATTTCATATACATTGGTAACTCTGTATCCACCCATTGGACCAACTAATCCGGTGCAAATCCCACCGTTGGGTCCCAATAAAAGAATGGGCAAAAGCCCCGTATGGACTAGCCCCAATAAATTGTTTGCAAAAGTTTTGAACTTTAGGTGTGTGTGTGTATACAAAATTACTTAATTAAGGATATGAATTCAAATGGAATCACCTATCTGTATTTTTGTCTATGATTTTGGTTTAATTTCAATTTTTCTGATTATTGTGGTATGGGAATTATTGTAAGGTCGTGGAGAGTAACGCACCCTCACAATTCCTGACATGGGATTCTCAACCATTGCCCGCTTATCAGTACTTTGAAAATGTTCGAAACTTTTTGGTAGCAGTTGAAGAATTGAAGCTACCTACATTTGAAGCATCTGATCTTGAAAGAGTAAATTAAGAACCCTGTTGTTAATTTCTATTATGCACAAATAGCTTAATGTGTTTGTGCATGTATACAATCCTTAAATTGAGTTTTCTTTCATTTAATATCTTTAGGATAACTTGGAAGTTGGGTCATCGGCGAAGGTGGTTGATTGCATTCTAGCTCTGAGAGGATACCATGACTGGAAGCAATTGAGTGGAGGAAATGGATTCTTTAAGCCCCCGAGATCTCCTCTGCTTATGCATTCTGCAAATAGGGTTCACTCACGAGCTTCGGAAGCAATCTTCTCAGACACTTGCCAACAATTAGACATGTCCAAAGCCTGTGACGACATTCCACTCACCGAGAGTGGAGTTCAAAAACTTGAAGGTTTTAAGGATTTTTCTTTCCTATGTTTCAGTACATATGCATACTTGCACAAGGCATTTGTCACACATATATAGGAAATATTTAAGTATTACTCCAAATGATGATTACTAAATTTAATGGAGTTTGTTATGCATAATCAATTAAGGAAAGGTGGTAAGGAATTGTCTTACATAGCTGAATTCATATTATTCTAAGTACATTAAATATTTGTCTCAAATAGTGACTTAAATATTTCGGCAAGAATATAATTAATTCTATGTTTGTTGATTGAAACTCCTAAGTTTGAAACAATAAAACATAATTTGATGAGTCTTTCTTAGTCTGATACTGGTATAATATTTTTATTTGCTATAGTTTATAAACTAATTTATATGGATAAGTTTTATCATAGGAATAATAGGAAATTATTATTTTATTTAATGAAGTCATATTTGAAGTTGTCACTTGCACATGTAGCAGCCTGCAGCTATACATATACCTTTCTGGTTTGGATTATTATTATATTTATTTTTAGACTTACTTTTTTTCATCCATTTGATTTGTAGATTTGATTGCCAAGGCCATTGTTGAATGTATGATTGACAAAAAGGAAAACATAGATAATAATCTTATTGCTTCCTTTCGTAGTGGCAATCTGGTAATTGTTAATCCTATTGATACGCAAACTTTCCTTTCATTTCACATTAAACAAATTGAACAATAGCTAGAGCTGAAGTAGTTATTTTACAGGATCCGGGCAAGTTATTCGGCAACATCATGTCTACTTGTTTGGAGGAACAACTCCAAAACAAGTTCCCTAAGGTGAGTAAACTTAAAGTACCTTTGTAGTACATAATAATCATCACTTAGCTTGGTGGTCTCACTATGTTTCTTGCTTATGTGTCTCTAAAGTATTAATGAGTTACATTAACATCCTTTTGCCCAAATACAGTTGAAATCGATCTTCAAAGATCTCCTTGGAGGAGGTAGCACACTTGCTCATCCAATATCACCACCACCTCTAGAGCCTCTAGAGAATTTATCTATTAGAAATCAAAAGGTATGTTTTATATTTTAATCATATTAAGTATGTCTTCTATAAGGTAGGTACCATTTTAACTCTAAAATAATGAATTTGATTAACTGATTTCAAAACCTCACTATGTTTTTCAAAGTCTGATCTTGTTTAGAGCACTATCTTTCTTAAAATAATGAGTGCAAAAGCACCTTTTAAGCTTCACTTTATCAAATATAACTGAAGTATATCAACATTAAACCTCAGAAAAGGCACATACAGAGTTTAATGAATTGATGAAATGTAGGGATCTCTCTCTCTCTCTCTCTCTCTAGGCCATTAACAAGATCCAACCACGATCAATCCCAAAGGTAATCATATTACCATTTCATATATATTGGTAACTCTGTATCCACCCATTGGACCAACTAATCCGGTGCAAATCCCACCGTTGGGTCCCAATAAAAGAATGGGCAAAAGCCCCGTATGGACTAGCCCCAATAAATTGTTTGCAAAAGTTTTGAACTTTAGGTGTGTGTGTGTATACAAAATTACTTAATTAAGGATATGAATTCAAATGGAATCAATTGGAGAAAATGCCCTCAATTAATCAATCTCTATTCTACTATTAAAAGAAAGGTCAATCAAAAGCTTATGCATCCTAGTATGTTTTGCAAGTTCATAAATGCTAACTAGTTTTAATTTTGCACGAGTTCAGGTAGTCAGGTACAGGAGATGTCTACTGCTGCTCTTGGGTATCACAAGGTTGTGAAAGAGAACAGGAACCTATACAACATGGTTCAGGATTTAAAAGGTTGGTTAATTTCTGAATAACAACCATTTACTGTTTTGATGAAATTATCAGTCTTGCTTATTTTGTTTCTTTAAAAGATTAACTACAAAGCACATAACCAAGTGTGTTTACTCTATCGTGGTTGAAAATTTTCTTCAGGGAATATTCGAGTTTATTGCAGAATTAGACCTGCCTTCAGTGCCAAAACAAGAAATGTGATAGATTTTATTGGAGAAGATGGGTCATTAGTGGTTCTTGACCCATTGAAAACCCAAAAAGATGGGAGGAAAGTTTTTCAATTCAATCATGTGTTTAGACAAACTGCTACTCAAGGTAATACACAGATTCTTCTGTTTTACAAATTTTGTGAATTATCTTCACTTGGCATAATAATCATTCCCGCCCCCCCCAACACACACACAGATGAGATATTTAAGGACACTCAACCAGTAATTAGGTCTGTAATGGATGGATACAATGTATGCATTTTTGCTTATGGTCAAACTGGATCTGGAAAAACACATACTATGGTAAGGTTCTTTTCTGATTTGGCTTCAGATGCAAGTAATTTTTTTTTTTCCCGCTTTTCCTGCATGATTTACTGTTGATTGTCAAATATATGGTCTCTGTTTATTTATTTTATTTTCAAACCAAGATTTTCTCACTGCATATGTCTTCCTCTGTGACAGTGTGGATCAACTAGGGACCAGGGAATCAATTATCTAGCTCTCAGTGATCTCTTTCGGCTGTCTAATACAAGGAAGAACATCATGAAATATGATATTCATGTCCAAATGGTTGAGATATATAACGAGCAAGTACGAGATCTTCTTGCCGAAGATTCTAAAAACACAAAATATCCTTTTGCAGTTGCATTTCTGCCACTTGGCACATAAATTTTCTGCCTCTTGGCAGTTAAATTGCTTTCTTTGTTTGAAAGCTGTACTTTTTGTTCCACTTTAATTATTCATTTGCCAAATTTTTGTATTCTTGACTATCAGCAAATTAGAAATTCGAAGCTGTACTAGTGAAAATGGCTTGAGTATTCCTGATGCTTCCATGCATTATGTGGAATCCACCAATGATGTTCTTAGCCTGATGAAACGAGGTGATCTCAATCGTGTTGTCAGTTCCACTGCCATCAACAACCAAAGTAGTCGTTCCCACAGGTCCAACATTTATTTTATTTTTTTCATCTGTTAAATTTGATGAAAAAGTCGATTTACATTAATTGTTTATTTTGCAGTGTCTTGACAGTACATGTGCACGGTAAAGATGTATCTGGAAGTATTCTTCGCAGTTGCCTCCATTTGGTGGACCTTGCAGGAAGTGAACGGGTTGAAAAGTCAGAAGTTAACGGTGATGGCCTCAAGGAGGCACAATACATAAATAAATCTCTTTCCTGTTTGGGAGATGTGATCTCGGCCTTGGCTCAGAAGAGTTCTCACATTCCTTACCGAAACAGCAAGCTTACGCTACTCCTGCAGAATGCATTAGGTTGTAATATGCAATATAAATGTACCCGTCTTTCAAAGCTCTTCATTTAATTAACTTATTATTGCAAATTTTTGCCAAAATCACCTATTCTAAATGTGACGGGTCACTTCTGCTTGTGGAGTTTAGGCCTTCTCTGTATGAAATTTATGCATGTTGTATACTGACAGTTTTAATACCGTACAGGAGGACACGCGAAAACATTGATGTTCGCTCATGTGAGTCCTGAAGCAGATTCTTTTGGAGAGACAATTAGTACTTTGAAGTTTGCTCAGAGGGTCTTGACAGTTGAACTTGGTGTATCTCATATGAACAAAGAGAGCAGTGAGGTTATGGAACTCAAGCAACAAGTAAATGCATCTTCTTACATCACTATTGCATGGCATGTTCACACGTTGCATATCTTAACAGCTTAAGCTTTTGGGACTATGGTAATCTAACATTGCATCAAAGCTTAGGTGGGGGAGGTTTTGGGTTCTAGTTTCTCCGTTAGCATTATTTTTTCTTTGTATGTATGAATATTTGCATCTCCATGTGCAAGACGGGATTGCACATGAGGGAGGGTGATGGAGAGCTTGATTGTTATACATTGTTGAACCCATTTTTTAAAATCTTAAGATTTTGGGACTAGTGGTGATCTAACATGAACTGTTTACACGTTGTAGATTGAGAGCCTCAAGAAGGCATTGGCTAACAAGGAAGCACAGACTGTTCGACCTACTAAATCAAAGGAGCCAAGATCACCACTTGAGAAACCACCGCATGCAAGGACTGAACGTACTCCTCCACGCTCCCAAAGGTTGAGCATTGAAAATTCCAACAAAACGGAAATGAAGAGAGCAATCAATTCTGTTGACAAAAGGGGACCTAAGGATCCAGTGCAGATCAAACTATCTGAAACTGTGAGCAATCTCCTACCATCCGAAGCAGTGTTGGTACAGAAATATACCCAATTTCAAGATCCTGTAGCAGCCACAAAGCCATATGGACATGTCAGTAATGGTGAATCCATGATCGACATATATCGTCCAAGGGCTCCTCTGAGTCCAACTCTTCAACCCAAGACACCTGAGCCACCAAAACTTGTTAGAAATGAGGTTCATATCATGATGCACGGTGAGTCTAACTTTTCTACGGAGCCTCGAACCCCTGGCTTGACTAGTAATGCAAATGGAAAAGGATCTCACATAAGGAAATCGCTTCGGACAATTGGGAAGCTGATTAAAGGCTCTGAGAAAAGGTAGTTAAAACCATGAATTGGTATTATCCTTGGCTCCCTTTGTCTGTTATTTTAGTGCATAACTCATTAAATGGTGAAATTGGGAGGAATTTAAGGTTGTGTTTGGATCTTGGATTTGGAAAAAGGATTTGTGGTTGAGGGAAAAGTGAATGAAAAATAAGCTAGATTTTTGTCACTTTTCCCTTCTCTTTTCCTTTCCGTCCCCAAATCGTAGTACCAAACATGGTCTAAATGTTCCAAGTTTAGACCACTCTGAAAATCTCAATGCTAAAAATTGCAGGAATCAACAAAAAATGGTTGAAGCATCCCCAGTAAATGGCATGCGCAAGATTCATGATGCAAGGTCACCAGTTTCGTCTAATGCATCCCCACTAACGGGCGTCGTTCAAACATCAGACAGGAGATCTTCTCTTGGAGGTAAATCAACAGACTCTTGTAAGTTAAACTAGCTGAACCCTCATTTGCATACCTTTTTGCTTTGTAGTCTACAACGGGGTATATTTGCTTATATTTGATGATTCCATATTATCAATTGCTTATATTAAATCTCAATGCTAAAAATTGCAGGAATCAACAAAAAATGGTTGAAGCATCCCCAGTAAATGGCATGCGCAAGATTCATGATGCAAGGTCACCAGTTTCGTCTAATGCATCCCCACTAACGGGCGTCGTTCAAACATCAGACAGGAGATCTTCTCTTGGAGGTAAATCAACAGACTCTTGTAAGTTAAACTAGCTGAACCCTCATTTGCATACCTTTTTGCTTTGTAGTCTACAACGGGGGTATATTTGCTTATATTTGATGATTCCATATTATCAATTGCGCTTATATTTGTGTGAAGGTACAAATGAAACTAGAAATTCGAAGACACCGCCTCCGGTCCACAAATCGGCCAAGGCAACGAATCAGTGGATGTAGATCATTTAGCAATAAGCAAAAGAGGATAATAGTGGTGTGGTGCTTCGGCTCCATACTCAATGCTGAGATTTGATTTAGGACACACTTTTTAATTCAGAGTAGCCATGACTTCTATTTACAACAAACTATTTGTTGACATTTTGCCAGATTAATAATTCATTCATATGATTTCAGCTTCTTCTTTTTCTTTTTTCCATTTTTCTTTTCTTTTTTTTTTCCCCCTGGGGCCAAGGTTGAACTGCATTTGGCACCATATTGAAGTTCATATTGCCTTTTGGAATGACACATTTCAATTCTTGCCAACAAAATTTGTATATAGTGTTTGTTCGTGGTTTTTAAAAATTAATTCCACACTCACTTTTAAAAACTCAGTCGAAGGCGGGAAAATTTGGGCTAACCGGTCGTCCCACCAATCATCCGGCCGGTTGACCGGAACAGTGCAATATATATATATATATATATATATATGTTGCAATTGACACATGTTAATTTTTCTATATTTAATAAAAAATATTTTCTGAATTTTTTAAAAAAATTTATGAGTTTTAATAGAATTTTGAATTGCGTGTTTAGTTATGAGTTGTAAGTTTTTGTATCAAATATCATATGTCACATCAAAAATTTCTCACTTAATTCAAAATTTTTTTCAAAATTCATTCACCAAACAAATTTTTCACACTCAAATTATAATTTTAAAACTTAAAAACTTAAAATACAACTTTATTTTCAAATCATGTTTAGAAAATTCTATCAAACGCAACTTTTTATTCTCTCCTCACATTCTTCTTGCTGGTACTTAAAGTGAGGAGAGAAAAAAAGATGTTGAAATAAAATGAAGAAAAAAAAAAAAAAATTTTCTCTCCTCTCCTTTCTTTTAACCAAAGAAGAAATGATTTTCCTTTCCAAAAATACTTAACCCTCATCTAGAAATGAGGTAAAAACTATGCAAAGAAACCTTCACTTGAAAATTTTTCAGGTGGTTTGTTCAAAAAATACACTTTGTAGGGGAAATGTGGAAGGGGTGAGAATTTGGGTTCTGGTCTATTTTTTCCCCTTAATTCAGCAAATTTCATATGTTTGTCTATATTTTTCTAATTTTCATGTCCTTTTACAATTATTTTTTATACCCCTTGTAAATTTATTTCTTGTTTTCCAATATTTTCCCCCTCAAAACACGTCTCGAAATCCAAACCAAGAGCAATTCACATTGGCCTTTTCTGAGTTAAAATTTAAAGACAAAAAAAGAGTGAACATGAAACAACGGTTAGGATTTGGCCCCACAGTATTTAATACAATGGAACTTGAAGGTCAGAGGATAAAATGATAGGGCATTCACAAAGTATATCCCCAACAGATATCAGTACAATGTCCTTCCTAAGCCCCTAGGGCTTTGCCATGCTCAGTTACAATATACTTTACAACTGAAACTTCATTTTCGTGGAAGCCAAACAGTCCCAACGGTCATCCAGTTGGTGTTCAATATGAGAAAAAAGCCAAATCTAATTAAGTGCTGAAAATTTTTCCAGGCCAAAATAGTTTTGGACACTTTCACATCAATGAAACAGCTCCAAATTATGTTCACCTTGGAATGTTTTTGATTGAACCACTTTGTGCCAATAATTTGACACACACAAAATCCAACTACAAAAATGTAAGTAGCCCAATGTGAGTGAAGCAGCTTCTTTAGTTATGAGCTTACTATTTGATTTTTATGTTTGCCGTTATTATTTGTGATTGGTTCTATAATCAATATATGACATGAATTAAAGTAGACAAGGAAAGAGATAGAAAGATTTGAGGAAATCAATATAAGAAATTAATTGTATGGTTTGAAAATGTGAGTGAGTGGGTTGGATTGGACCGATTAGATAATAAAAACAAAAATGTTAGAGGTCCCAAAAATTCTACCAAAAGTTTTACCAAATGTCTCACATGGGTGTGGGACCCACATGGGACCCACATTGTGTGAGTCTCACAACCATGTGAGACATTTGGTAAAACTTTTGGTAGAATATTTGGGGTCTCTAGCATTACTCTAATAAAAATTGATGGATTAGTTGGCTTACTACGGGTTAAAATTTGTTAACCTACATACAAACTGACTTGCCCCATCTGCGTGTATACGCAAAACTATTTCTAACTCACCCAATTGGCTTAAACCATCGGCAATTTTAAAGATAGGTAAGTTGCCGACAAATTGAAATTTTTTTAATTATGGACTGTTAATTGATGATTTTCCTTCAAAACCAATCCAAATTGACACCCCTAGCTTTAACAGTTTCCCAAAAAAAGACAGTTTGACATTTAAAACAATGTGATTAATCATTAATTGTATTGAATTTGATTGATGGTAATTATTTACTGGTTTTGAAATGATTGAACAACCGAGAATAATTTATTTACAAATACTTACATAGCGTTTGGTATCATATATTTTTTTATTTAAGTTTACAAAAATTTTATAAACGTGTTTGGTTTGAACAAAATTTTTAAAATTTTTAAAAACATAAACTAAAAAATATGTTTATTCAGACCTAAAATATTTATATTTATTTTTTGTTATTTATGACAATGGATAATTTTAAAAAAGTTAGTTTAAAAAAAATTATTTGAAAAAAAATTAATTGGGAAACAAATTAATTGAAAAAAAATTTGTTTGAAAAAAAAATTTATTTGAAAAAAAAATTTGTTAGTCAAAATTTTAAATTTCTATTTAAAAACCAGCGTAAACTCATTTTTTAAGTTTACATTTTTTTCTCAAATTTACAAACTGAGACAAACATTTTAAACTAAAAAAATTATCAAACAAGTTTTTATGACAACTTTTAAAATTGTTGTAAATATAAATTAAAAACTAAAAACGAAATAGTTACTAAGTGGTGTTTTGGAAAGTCAGTAAAAAGTTGACTTTTTAATTTTTTTAGTCTATTTTATTTTTTAGTGGATAAAAAATGTGAGAGATGATGTAACTCAAAATGGATAAAAAGCCAAAACCTCTTTGCCAAAGCATCCCCAAACAAGCATTACATTTTATTTGGAAACCTAGAGCAATTTATCTTTTCTTTTTAAACGGGCTGTTACAATAACTTATTGTTAAGTTGACATTCATAGCAAATCATGGTACAACATCTGAGTTGCCAAAGGTAGTGGTTGGGAGTAAGGGCTAGGGTTTGGGTTTGAGTTTGGAATTAGGGGTATAGTTGGTATTAAGGTGAGGGTTTAAAGAAAAAATAGAAGAAACTCATTTAACTGGATAGGAATTCAAAAAAGTGAGAGAGCCAAAGAAGAAAAAAAAATAAGGTACTAATGGATGCCCTCTTTAGTTGCAATCTTAAAATTATTAAGTTAGTAATTATGTAAGTGATTGTAATGGTGGGATGTTAGAGATGGAGGTGGTAGGGGGTGGCGACAACGATGACAAGTAAAGATAGTGGTAGTAATAATAATTAGTGGTGGGAGGTGATGGTGATAGTAGTGATAAGATTAGTTGAAAAGCATTTTTCACATCAGGAAAGTAGAAAAAACTTTTTTATACAAAGAATTTTTTCTATGGACTTCAATTTTTCATCACATCAAACTTCATAAAATGTTAAAAATATTTTATCTAAACAAACAACACACATGTTGAAAATGTTTTTTTGTTTGTTGTCATTTGTTTCTGTCTTTATTTTTGGGCAAATTTCACTTCAAATTCTAGATTCAAACTCAAAACAATTGAACATTTAGAACATTGTAATTAAAATAACAACAAACAAAAACAAATATTTTTGTTTGTTGTCATTTATATTTTTTATTTTTTGTCTTTTTATTTTTCGGCAAATTTCACTTTAAATTCTAAATTCAAACCCAAACAGTTGAACATTTAAAGCATTGTTATTAAAATGACGCCAAACAAAACAAACAGTTGTGAGAAACCATCATTATTGAACCTTCACAACATTGTTTTATTTGATTTGAGTTTAATCCTATATTTCACAAGTATAAATTGAATCCACTACAACAAAATAAGCCAAATTTACAAGAAAAAACTAATAATAAAACAATAGAATTTTTATTTCAAAAGTGTATATTTACCAGAAGGAAGCATATTTGCTTGTGGTTAAGAATCTACAACTTTCAATGAGCTCAAACAAAAAGAGTGGAGAATGATGTTTCGTTTGTTTGAGTAGAAAGTATTTTTTCTCTGAAAATCATGTTTTTTTATAAAAAAAAAATATTTTCCGCCAAAACAAAAAGTGTGTTAATGTGATTGTAGATAAAAATCCCGGTTCTTCTTAGCAAATGAGTAGTCGTATGCCCGAAGTAACCGCTTTTGAAACCTCACAAGATTCAACCTTACATTTTGATGATCAAGATAGATCTTCTTAGTGAATTCCCACCATTTCTTCCCCACATTGCTCGGATTAGTTAGAACCGGATCATTCTCGTCACACTCATCGAACAATGAGCTCTCCCTCGGAAGAATTTTGTAGCCAATGTACTTCAAACTGAGCTTTGTCGATGGTTCCCCCAAGGAAGTCTCTGAAGCCCATTCTGTTCCAAGTGGGATCACTTGGATCAACACCAACCCTGGTTTCATAAACAAAAAATGTGTCAAAGCCGCACTGTGGACACCAATTGTAACATCGCTTGAATTAAGCTCCCGGTAAATTCTCTCCAGCTCAAAAGTACAGACAGGCCTCAAAACCTCCACTTCAAATCCAATTTGTTCTGCCATTTTCACCAACAAATCCTCGTTAGCTATCACTCTAGACTTTTGTCGCAATAAGATAACTAGTTTCGGTTTCTTCAATTCCGTCCTTATTTCAAGTAACTTTTGTGATGAAGACGATGAAAGAGATTATTCAATTTCGCTTCACGTTCCTCATCCTCAATTAGACCTTTGATTCGAGGCCAATAAGCATGGTCTAAAATGTCACGAAAATCTTTAGTAGTCTTACCCCCTTCCATCAACAAAGGATCGATAGTTAGATCATCGTGGATTCTCAAACCAGCCATGGCTTCAGGGAAACAATGGGTTCTATTATCTCCACTAAAATCAATTGGTGGATAATCCGATAGAATCGAAAGGATATCACCATACTTAGTAAACCACCATTCATGATAATCAAGAATAACAAACACAACCCTCTTGTTGAAATGTTGTGAGGTGATTTACAAAGGCACAATCCCATCAT